ATCAATATAATAACCACACATGCATTATCATTAATTTGGTAGGAATTTTTTTTTTAACTTACTGCTGAAAAATGAAATAATGAGTTCTGTTTTAATTATATTGTCATATCAGCGTTATTAGAACTCACAGAGTACTGTAATTAGTTTATGGATCGGCCTCCAGTGGCCATATCATCAGATTACTTTGTTTATCTACATGTCTTACCATAATTCTTGACAAGTACATCTAAACATAGTAGTGTACTTAGCTTCAAAGCACGGTGATTCTTGCGTAGAAAAGATGCCAATATAGGAACACCTTCTTTCTGCACGGAAAACAAACAGAATACAACATTATAGCAGGAATATTATAAACTGCACTGCAAGCAAAAAATTAGAAACAGAAAAACATTAGTTACAAAAAGGTGCCCTTTGAGCACAAAAGCCAACTTCAGTCACCATCCACAAAATAGTTTATTTATAGTCTGCTCTTTTCTACAGAAAATGTCAACTTTTGTGATCAAAAGCTTGAGGTAATGTCACTTTTTGTGTGTTTTGTTCAAAATTAAGATTGAATTCAGTGAAAAATACAGAGACTGAAAAAATTTACCCCAATTGAGTAGGATAAAAATTTGGCATTCAGAGAGTTAAACATCAATGCATAGCTAAAAAGTGATGTGTTTGCACAAGTCATGATGTATCATAAAGTTAAATCAACATGGATTCCTACATTGTTAGAATCATCATTTTTTTCAACATGTGACACAGCCCTATCGAACATTTTTGTCAATACTTGTTATTGAGATTTAGATTGGTCTAATCTATTTGAGGTGAATTAACATTAAAGCAGCGTAGTTGTCACCTGTGCATGCGGCAGTCAGCTCAGTGTGTTTCTGTAAATAAACAAGCGTCTCCCCATACGTTGTTATTGTCGCTTGGAACTCAATTCCCACATGTGTGCAGGTGACAATCCCTTCGCTTTAAGTAAACTTACCAAGATAGGTCTTATATCTATCTTTAGCGGTGAGCCTGCTATCAGCGTTAATGCCTTCACTGTGGTTAATCTAGTAATTTCATTTTTCAGTCGATCTAAAAATATTGGTAGGCACGTTTTCAACTCATTCGTTAGTTGATCACCTAGATTGCAGATAATACGACCCCTTGAACAAATAAATGATGATATTTTAGTTTCATACATGTACAACATGATACATGACAATCAAAAAGAGCTCTACTTACTTAATAATCCAATATTCATAATGGGGAAAAAAACAAAAACAATATTTAAATATCTCTCATATTCACATACGAAGTGTATCCCTCATAGATGCACACTCATGAACCAAAAATTGTATAATACAGTTCATTAAAATAATTAAAATAAAACTTATTTTGGTTTTAGCCGTTTAACCACAGGATTCCTCTTTTCATCACAAATTCTCAAAATAGTCCTGTTTATAGTCTGCACTTTCCTTCAGAAGATTGGAACAAAAATAGCCAAATTTTTTGAGTAAAAAATGAAAAATTGATTCAAATTTTGGTTATTTCCAAATTAAGGTTTATTTATAGAAATATTGAAGAATACAAGAGAAAACGGTGCAGAAAAATTTGGGCAAGAACGTTCAGTGGTGAAAAGGTTAGACACAATTCCGCTGTATACACATGCACTACTAATAGAACAAATACTGTACTTGATAGCAGTTGAGCCAATCCCACAGTGAAATAAATATATCGTATAAATCTAATCTTTATATGTAGAATACAAATATACTCACATGCATGAGATTGCCCTTTCTTTAACTTCCTGGTCTATGTCAGCAGCTTTCAGTCTGGTGTAGGTGCATCCATATAAATCCAACACATACAGAGTGAAATCAAACGTACACTTGAAATCTGTAAGTAATATCAAAACTAAGCGCTCTATTATAAATATATAAGTTGATAATATAGAGAGAAATTTTCACAATGAATTGCTGGATATTAAGCAATACTGTATTTACTTTTCATGTAGTTATTTTCCTTTTACTAATATCTGATTCGTAACCCTTTTCATCCCCTCCAGGGATGTTATGTGTTCTTAAATAAACTAATACTGTATGTTTGGGGATAGAATGCTGAAAGCAGATGGCTGAGGGGCCAAAACCATAGATTTCATGATGTGAGGTAAACTCATTGAAAAATCACACCAGTGAGTCAGTCACATGGGAAATGTCATTTGAGAATGTAACAGCCTGCCCATTATTTACTATGCATACAAACATTACCAGTGGTGGCAATCCTGTGTGCAAAACACATCTTACTACACAATTGTCTGCCTTGAAGGAGAGCATCATCACTAACAGTTTGGAGTAACACTTTGAATTGAATAAAACTGATGATTGACAGTCATTTTGATAATCCTGCCCAAATCTTGCCCATCTACTAAACATATATTAGGTATTTCATGATTTCTGATCATCAAAACTACCAATACTTGTGCACTAATGTACACCACTTTGCCATACTAACTCATTATTGTCATTTATAATAACCCAGACACCTACCAAGTGTGGTTGTGTTTAATACACACTTTATTTGCAACACATGCACTTAATATGTTAACCCTTGTGTTATTTTCCCTGCCAATAATTATGGTGCCACATTTTTCATTTTTTTATGTATCGCTCTAGCAAAAATATTCCAAAATATCCAAGACTACAAAACTTGATCAAGATTTCAGATAAAAAATGAAAAAAATTTTGCAGGTTTAATTTCGAGAATGGTGAGAAAAATTGACTTTAGTGCACAAAGAGTTAATAAAAAAGGTTTTTATGGTCAAAATATTTTTACTAATTCATGATACAGCTAGTGACATTTTTGCTTCGCATGTACTATTTATAAAATATGTGCTTCTAATAGAGCAAATATGGTATTTGGATGACATACATATTTTATGTACATGTGACACAGAAACCTGGTGTACTTTGTTGCTGTGAAGAACAGAGTTCAAATCAGCAATCCCAAAATGCATTGCAGGATTAAATATAATTACTTACCAAGTGGTCTGATCACTTTTATCATGGTTTGTGTCACCAATAGGGCCTCTGATGTTATCTTATAAAACGGATCACCAACCGAATTAACAACAGGCTAAAATACAACAATCATACAACTGTTATTCAAAAGCTAAAGCCTTGTAAAAAAAAGTTTCTGACAAAACTGTTTTTCAAAAAATGAGGCAGTGAGTAGCAGTTTTTGCTAAAGTGTTTGATGGTGCAAAAATTTTACATCTTCAATCAATTCATAAACAGAGGGCACTGTTCACTGAAAACAAAGATATTTAAAAAATAATGTTAGGAGTTTCTGATTGCAAGTTATCTCCAATATATGAAGACAGCCAGTAACCTTTAGGGTGTAAATTGTGTTTCATTGGATCATTCACAACATTTTCTAAAGTGGACCACCTCAGTTTTAAGGAATCATGTGAAATACAAATCCAGCAAATACGTCATCTACAGGAAGCACTTGGCTAATATCTGCAGACAACTGATAGAGGGTGCTACTACAAGTGTGATTGTAATACTTACTGGTACAAGCTGATCTATATGAGGATGAAATACTTGTGGAGAATGACTTGACATCAAACAATGTAAGAATGATAACGTATCTATCTTCATATTGGAACTGGTATTCTTATCACTGTAATACAAACATATTTACTATTTTAGTAATATTCATATTAGTAATATTAAATAAGTACTTGTGTTTCCAAATACTGCATACAAACTGTTTTGATATGTATTTGGGAAGAATTTCCAATGTACCCCTTCCCTTCCCCTTACCCCTCCAGCTCCCCAATTCAGTTGTATATGCCCCTCTGTACAACTACTGTGAAATATTTTATTTTCGCTGGAATTAATTTTCGCTGAAAATCATTTTTGGGTGTTTTGTATGGAATTTATTTTCACTGATTTTTGGCAAGTTGAAAGTAAAATATAGGAAACAAGCCATGCATGGCACAGTCACAGTTAGTTATCAAATTTAAGATATATACATGTATACATATGATGTATAACGAATATATAAAATTTGAATATAACCAGTCAAAGCATTTAAGAGATATGGCTCTAGAAGCCCAATCATTAAAACAAAATGGCCGCCAGTCAGCCATTTTGAATCCAATCTGAAAAATAAAATGACGTGCATCAGGAACCAGTAATGTATAAAGTATGTACCAAGTTTGAACGAAATCCATCCATAAATGCTTGATATTTGATGATTTTTTAGCACAAAAATGATCACCATTCGGCCATATTGAATAGGATCGTCAAACCAATATATCTGTTTATCCATGACATGATGTATAATGAATATTTAAAATTTGAACATAATCAGTCAAAACAAAATAGCCACCAGACAGTCATTTTGAATCTGATCTGAAAAATAAAATGACGTGCATCAGGAACCCGTAATGTCTAATGTATATAAAATCCATCTGTAAACAGCAGAGAAATGCTTGATTTTTAGAAATTTTTAGCACAAAAATGGCCGCCATTCGGCCATCTTGAATCAGATCGTAAAACAAAATATGTGCATCAAGGTCCTATAATGTCTAATGTTTATACCATGTTTGAACAAAATCCATCTGTAAACAGCCGAAAAATGCTTGATTTTGATGATTTTCAGCACAAAAATATCCGCCATTTGGCCATCTTGAATCAGATCGTGAAACAAATTGACATGAATATGTATAATATCATGTATGATGTATGTGTGAAGTTTGATTTTGATTGGTCCAGGCATTTCTAAGATATAGGTCCGGATGCACAGACGCACAGAGGTCAAAACATGAGACTAAAAAGGTATATTCGCTGGATTTTCTTTTCACTGAATCATTACTTCATCGAAAATTAATTAATTAATTACAAGCGAAAATAAATAGTAGGATTAGAGGTAGGGTACATTGCGAAGTCTTAACAGGGAATATTCACAAGTGCATGCTGCAGACTGTGCAGCATAGCATGTAGTTGTTTACAAATAAACGTCTAACCATGAGCCTCTTTGTTTTCTTTGTGTTGTTATTGTCATTAAAGACTCAATTCCTGCATGTACTGTAAAATTCATATACTGTTGGAACACCTATAGGTCACCAGCTTAGACTTACCCAAGTGAAAACTGTATACCGGGTACTAACACACCAATATGGTCAGATAAAACACCAGGCAATACAGTAACTAGCTCTGTCAGCAATGAAAAACAACCTTGTCTTGTCTTTATGCTCTTTTCTTTCAGCTGTTTATGTAATGCTTTGACAATTGCTGGCACTTGTTGGCGAAGCATCACAACAGTCTAAAGATATTTGAAAAATTACATACAAAATCATTTAGATTTTATTCATTTCGTT